GACCAGATATTCGCGGCTCAAGCCAATAGCCGATTGATCAACCTGTTGATGAAAGGGAGAAAAACGTATTAGATTATAGGAGCACTCACGCGGCTCCGAAGTCAAATATTAAGCAAAAAAGTGTGTGTGGAAATTAAATTCGTTTCCGGTATTCCTATCGCTATCGATATTTTTGGAGTTATCGATAATTATTGGAGCTATCGATTCCTTATCGCAATTTGTTATCGTGGTCGCTATGTGTACACGTATGTACATTAGGGTGTCCTAGAATATTGGGGGAAAACTTGTTTGCGAAACTCGATGTTCGTAGGTAGCTTTTTTGTTAAAATTCGGCTTATATCAAATTTTATTGCTGTAGGAGGACGATATTTCATACCACCTAAAGTTAAGCTTCTGGTTAAGAACTTGGACCGAGGATCTTTGTCATGTATTAAATATTTGAAAAGGGTGCTATAATAGGGCTCAAGTTCTAAGTGATAACATTTTAAAGGGACTTTGTTTTGTAATCTAAGTTATATAACGCATTTATCTCCCTGAAAATCTATGTATTTCACCTTCTTCTTTCGAGGAAAGGGGAAAGTGTCATCCGACCTCTACCGGAGATAACCTCGGCTGGAGCCGCGACTGGAGCCATTCAGTCTCACCCAATTGGAGAAGATCGCTACCTGGCCAAACCTCCGCCACACATAGTACCAATTACATACAGATACTACCGGAAAAGCGCTTCTAAAATGGGGCAAGCTCTCTGAGGCCAGACAAATCCCACAGCCAACCGCCAATTTTATTGCTATTATACCTTTGGTAGGAATGTCCCCTCACAAAATTAAAAGAAACTGCGGCGCAAACACCGAGTGTCCTGTTATTCCCTCAAGTAAAAAAGTACACCACTCAGCTAGCAAGGCTTATTTAAACCTGTCCACTAAGTCTTTCGTGCCGCTCGTCGTCTTGCTAACTTGCAGATCAGCGATAATCAGGAGACTTCGTCGAATTGTCGAATCAGAATGCAGGTAGTATTGCTTTTCTTTAACGATAGCTTAGATTTTATACCGATTAGGGAAGATCCAGGTCCACAAAACCTGCACGAAAATTATCGTCAAGTTTGGGGCATTCACGGAAACTGAAGCACCACACAGCCACTAAGGTATGAAAGATTTTTATAATTATTTATTTCAAATCATATACAAGATGTCTTTAAAGAGAAAAACTAAAAGGGTAGCTCTACCACTGAATCACACAAATGCCGGGTTTTCTTTATGTGTGAAGTACACATTGTCGCACGGTCGCATTGGTCAATTCTTGTACTACATATTGAGGCTATGCACATCGAATTTTCCAAAATACAAACTGAGACACCCTAATGTACAAACATACATATATGTATTATTATTATCGACATCCTCACAATATTCAATGTGAATATAGTTCTTATTATAGCTATCCAAATTATTAAAGATGTGGCCATTATTATATCAGTAAATTATTTTTATCGATAACAAATTNCTTAACTCACATCAATTATACGCGTTGTGCTGTTCTTCAAATCCACGCTGATCGAAAAATCAATAATATAGTCCATGCTAAAGCCCAATTTACGGAACTTCTTCACAGTCTCCTGCCAGCTCCAACTGTTATCCGCATTCCACGAATCGCCCTCAATCACTGGCCAGCCACCCAGAGACTTGGCAATATTAGCAATAGGCGCCGCACCCAGTTGTTCAATCAGAGCTGAAGAAGATTTGAAAAAGCCAGAGGCAAAAATTTGATAATATATACGTTTGTATGTATGTATGCGTGTGAGTTCAACGAAACACTTACATTTATTCATACACGCCTTATAAAGCGCATTCGGCAGCTGAAAGTGATTGGGCTCACTCTTCGGTCGTTCTTCGGTGACGATTTCCTTTAGTTGTTCATGCAATTTATCCGAAATCAACGAGAATGTATTCAATGAATCTTTGTCGTCGGGTATCAGCTGCTCTTCAATGTAAGTGCCGCACACGAATTCATAGAAGTCATCACAGGGTTCGATCTCCGGTTTCATTTTACTTAATACCGCCGAAGCGGTGTGTATGCACTCGACTGAGAGACAGACATCATCCTTGGGTGACTTTTGTGGTGTGATAATGACTTCATTGTCTGTCGGTTTACTGGAGCCTTGCAGCGCCTCTGGTGGTGGGTTTGTGGGTGTTTTGAGCTCTAAATGTCGAGAGATAAGCAATGGAATTAAAAGTTCTTTTTTGCGTATGTTAAAAACGCTGAGTGCCTCAACTCACCTTCGGCCAAACGATTTGAGAGTATTACAGAAACTAGTCCAATGACTAGACCAATCACTGCGATCAACGCAATAATACTTATGAGGACAAGGCATCGCTCCAGTGTAGTACGTCTGCGCCACCAATTGGGGTTTCTAAAATAAAAAATTGGAAAAATTTGTATCACTCAATTTTTTGGGGAAAAAGGGAAACACAATTAGGCTAAAGATAAAAATTATATAATTATATGTATAACTAGTAGTAAATTAGACAGAGTGGCATATAAATCATCAATTTTTATTTCGCGCATAATCAGCTGCTCAACTTCAGCGACTGATTTTCCAAGAGGTTAATAACATCAAAG